CCTTAGCCGGCTAAGCCGTTTACTACCTAAATTGGTAATTTTATTTCTATAACAAGAAAGTAACGCAGAAATCTATTCCCAAATTTAGAAATTATGCATGCAGATTATTAGCCGGCTAACATCACTAGTTTAGAGGACATCTTGGAGGAGGAGTTCCAATGTCAATATTGATAAGATTGTTAAGCTTATCTACCAAGTTGTTTACCAATCCCTAAATAATTGAATCAAATAAGTGAATGAAAACATACCAATATTATTATCTGATAGAACAAACAAGCTTACTCTCAAGTTCCAAGCACATTTAATTGCTATTTTTAAACTATGGTAAGATGTGAAAGTCAAAGGCATGTGAAATCTTCTGCAAAGATGAAAATTGTATAATTCTTGTTTGTCCATAACATAGATTGATATCTTATTTAAATAAATCTAAAGCAAAAGGATAGAACACATTATTTAATATTCTATGTAAATTAATTCTATTAATTATTGTAAAGTTGTACCTGAATGCCTAAAACATAAAGACCAGAATCATTTATTGCAGCTTCATGAAACTTGATAATCAAGCTATCTAACATATCTTCATAACTCTTTTAAGATGGAATTCATCAGATGCATGTTTGGTAAAGTCAGCTTTGTATGGTCTGCCACAGTTTAATAAACACACTGCAAGTGTACAAAATACAGCTCATGATGTGTCCAATAAATATATAAGATAAAATAAATATAAAAGTCCAATATATAAATCTCCCTGTATCAGCACACAGGTGAAAGCTGTTTGTCATAAATATAATATCCTATCTCCATTTATTTCTTATTTAAAATCTTGATTTTTATTTTTTATTTATAATGGCAAGACAAAACTTGTGTAAAATAAAATCATGATAAATAAGCTAATTAATGATAATAATCTTTTGATTCTATTTATAATGATGAGACAAAATTTGTATAAAAATAAAATCATGAATACAAATCATAATAACAAGCTAATTAATAATGATGATCTTTCGATTTGTTCTCAGTTTTGATTCTTTTGCTACAGCAAACAATTCTTTCTTTATTTTCAATAACTTTTGCACTATAATAAAATTAAATTAATAAATCTATCTTATAAAATAAAAAATGTATATACTAATATATGTATATACCTTTTAGAGCCTTTTGGTATTTTATATTATTAAGTTTCTTCGTTGTTATCAATTGGATTATTAATTATCAAATGATCACTTTTTTGTTATTATCAATTCTGAAATAAAAATAATCATAAATTAATTTAAGAACGCAAAAATGCAAAATATGAATGAATAAAATTTTTTTACTTGTAAAATTCAATTAAAATAAAAATATAAAACTTATTAGTAAGTTTAATAAGTTAAAATAAAAAAGGGTTGTATATACATATGAATACTCACAATCAATTGCTGATGTAGATTTTTCTTTGGGAATTTCAATTCCAAAATTTGACAATTTTTCTAAATTGTCAAATAACAAATGCCAATGCCACATTTATTAATAATGATTTATTATTATTACAAAATTAATATATTACAGAACAAATTTGAATTGGCAATTTTTGTTAGTGTCAAAAAAAACGGATTGTTGCCACCACTATAAATAACCTTTTTAATACAAAACTTTAATTGTTAAATTTAATACTAATCAAAATGAA